TGCCCATCCCAAAGAAAGGTGACCCAATAGAATGCTCAACCTATAGACAATATCATTGCTTTTGCACACAAGTAAAATGTTGCTTTAGATCAGCCAACAATGGTTGCAGCAGTACATTGATAGGGAGCTGCCAGAAGTTCAGGACGCATTCAGCAGAGGCTGTGGAACAAGGGATATCATTGCTGATGTAGGTGGATCTTTGCTCAAAGCAGAGAACACCAGAAAGATATTTACTTGTGTTTCATTGACTATGTAAAGGCATTCGACTGTAAGGACCATAATAAACTATGGATAAACTTGGGAATAATGAGAATTCCAGAACACTTCATTGTGCTCATGGGAAATGTGTACATGGTTCAAGAAGCAGTTGTGTGAACACAACACAGGAATACTGCAGGGCTTAAAACCAGGAAGGGTGTGCGTCAGGGCCGTATCCTCTCATCATGCTTAGTCAACCTGTACACTGAGCAAATCATCGTAGAAGCTGGGTTCTATGAAGAAGAGCGCAGCATCAGGATTGGAGGAAGGATTGTTAACAACCTGTGGTGTGCAGATGACACAACGTTGCTTCATTTTCTCCCCAGGAGGAAATGCAGCACTTGCTGATGAAGATCGAGGACCGCAGCCTTCAGTGTGGACCACAACTCAATGTAAAGAAGACCCACATCCTCACAACTGGATCAATAGGGAACATCATGATAAATGGAGAGAAAGTTGCCAAGGATTTTGCCTTGCTTGGATCCACCATCAATGCTCACCGAAGTAGCAGTCAAGAGATCACAAGAGGTATTGTATTGGCTAAATTTTGTGCACAAGACCTGTTTAGAGTTTTGAAGAGCAAGGACCTTGAGGACTAAATTGTGCCAAGCCATGATTTTCTCCATTGCCTCCTGTGCGTGTGAAAGTTGGACATTGAATCAGGAAGACCGTAGAAGAATCCATGCATTTGAGTTGCGGTGCTGGAAGAGAATGCTGAAAGGACCACGGGTGATGGCTAAAAGGACAAACTGCTCTGTCCTGGAAGAAGTAAGGCCAGCGTGCTCCTTGGAAGCTCGTCTCACAAGGGACCAGTCCTGGGAGAAGGACCTCATGTTTGGTTAAGTGGAGGGGCACCTAAAAAGAGGAAGGCTCCCAATAAATGATTTAAGAAAAAAAAAGAAGGAAATAAAAACAGTTAAATAAGTGTTAGGCCATTTTTCTACTGTCTAACCAAGAAATACCTTGCTGGCGGAAAGTGAGGAGAACTTGGAGCACTTGCCAATAAAGGTCAAGGGTTGCAGCCTTGTAAAGAAATGTAAAGAAAACCCAAATCTTCACAACTGACCAATAATTGGTCGCTATGATAAACCTGAGAAACGGAGAGAAAAACTGAAGTTGTCAAAGATGTCATCTCTCTTGGATCTGAAACCAATGTTCACTGACGATATCAAAGGATACATTGCATTTGGTAAATCCAGCACTGGGATTCACATAATTTAATTACAGGTTCAATGTCCTAATGACCGTTTCAAATATAAAAAAAGATATTCTGAAATGTAATTTAATATTTCAGATGGTTAATACTTAAATAATAATACTATAAAAGAGGTACACAAGCTAGAATGAGTTTTAAGATATTAATGATGATATAAAAGATGACAAAAAATAAACTGTTATTTAAGATATTCCTCCCACCCCCCAAAAAAGAGGAAGGCCCACAAGGAGGTGGATGGACACGGTGGCTGCATCAGTGGGCTGAGGTGTGGGGACAGCGATGAGGATGTGCAGGACTGGACAGTGTTCCCTTCTGCTGCGCGGGGTGGGGGTGGGGGTCGCTATGGGTCGCAGCTTGACTGGACGGCACCTGACAAGAACCATAACGGAGGTTACTCGTCAGGCTGCTCACCACAAGGACAGGACAGTAGAACCCTGGACCTCGACCCTCATCGTCTAGAAGGAGGGTCGAGATTCGCGATGCAGTTGAGTTCTGAATCCATTTTTCCCATAAGAAATCACTGGAAACGGGTTAACCGGTTCTCCACCACCAAGCTTTTACCCTAACCTTGCCTTTTTATAGAAAACATTACACTGAAATCTCCAAGTAAATAAGTTCAGAGTTATAGAATGTATTTAAATAAGAAACACAAGATTTTAAAAGTTCTTAACAACTACGGTATGGCCCATACCTTGAGACGGATGAGGATCTGGATCGTGGACACGATGTGGAGAGGAGGGATGGAGAGAGGATCATTGCTTGGAAGGGGCATCCCCTTCCATCAAATCAACTGGTAGCTGCTTTTCAGTTTTTTCCCCTTCTTTGTCATTTTTCACTAGGACCAGGCTGACTTTCTCTATAAAAAGCCTCTAATGTGGTCTGCTGTTAGCATTACCTTAACTGTTTTCTAAAAGGGTTTGCTAAATTATCACCAACAATATCGATAACATGGTTAACCAGTTCCTTATCATGATGATTCTTTTCAAAAAACTCTTTCTTAGGACCCATGTTTTTTTATTATCTAAAAACAGTACAAGAAGCCACAAAAACTAAGAAAATGATAGCAAAACGCTTGTAACACAGCGCGAAAGGCGTCCAACAACGCCAACGAACGCCGAGCAACTGGAACATGAACTGCTTTCTTTTACGAAAATCACGCGCATCGGGTCAGCTTCCGACGTTTTATTTGAGCTCTGATGCAAAGTTGTCTCCACGTTTCACGTCGAAATCCGATGATGTTGAGTACTGATGCGGTGAGGATGGGGTGCTACTGCCGCTGGAAATCCCAGCTGCTCCTGGGAGAAAGAGGCGGCTTTCTACTCCCATGAAGAGCTACAATCTTGGATGTCCTGTGGGCGGAGGTCAGCTCACTATCGTCCTCCCTGCTGCCAGACCACTGTCTCCCCATGTCATAGAGGTGGACCTGCTCCCTGCTGCTGGAGACAACGGATTACTTCTCTCTGACGCTTGTGACCCTTAGCTTGGCTCCTGTAGGCAGAGTTCACATCCTACTGATAATGGTCTCTAGCAGTTGAGCCAGGGACTCTGTGATATTCCAAGTTAGGCTGCCATCCTGTACCCAAGACCCACCCATCTTGCCACGTGTATACCGCCAGTCCCTCCTCTTCCTATTGCATGGATACCCCTAGATCACC